CCACTTCCTGCTTATTGCAATAGATAAAAGTAACTGTATTGATCTCAAGTTTGTTACAGGAGCAAAACTCTCCTTATAGTCAACCGAATATAATTATGCAAAACCCTTAGCCACCAAACGAGCTTTGTGTCTCTCAATCGAACCATCCGATTTGTGCTTCAGGGTATGCACCCACTTGCATCCTACCACATGTCCTCCTAGCCGATCAATTACATCCCAAGTTCACTGCTTCTTTAAGGCAATCATTTCCTCAATCATGGCTGCTTTTCATTGTCGATAAGCAATGCAACTACAAATTTGGAGGGAATAGGAGCAAAGGAAGTAGAGCAACAGTATGAACGAAAGGAAGGTGCAAGTGACGCATAAGAAATAAACTTACTGATTGGATGAGAAATACAAGTCCTTTTTCCTTTTCTTATGGCAATCAGTAAATTGAGTTGAGAAGATATAGGGGTAGAAGAAGAAGAAGTACCTGACAAATCGATGAGCTGGGGGTAGATCATTTACATCAAACTTTCCTTTGTTCTTTTCGGGATTATACATTCAGTTATTTCTCAATAGATTTCAGATGTTCCTTGATTGGATTACAAGTACTACCTATAATCATTGGAAAATGAATAGAACTGTCAGGTGGCATAGTGGCTATTAAATCTCTTTTAGGGAAAAAATTAGGGTATATACTCAAAGAAGGTAACATCCTTTGAGACATATTTCCTTTTAGTTTCCCGACAGCAACACTTGTATCCTTTCTGAGAGTCCAAGTATCCTAGCAACACACATCTCGTAGGTTGAGGTCCTATTTTATTCTTAGCTGGCCCCAGGGTATACACAAACCAAACACAACCAAAGGTTTTGGTAGAAGAGAAAATAGAAGAAGTCCATGGTTTAGAAGTTAAAAAAATAAGCATCATTGAGAGCATGTGTAGGCATTCTATTGATCATATAGGTAGCAGTAACAATTGCTTCATCCCAATGTCATAGGAACCGGAATTCCTAATAGTATGATTCTCACCACTTTTAACAAGTACATATTTTTCCGTTCTGCCACACCATATGATTTTTTTGGAGTAAATTTCATTGTATTGTATTTCAAGAGAATGAAAATTACAAAAGGAGTGGTGACACCTGAGGGCCACCATATACAATCCCTGTTAGGGGCAAAAAACCGAAAAGGTGTAAAGGGAAGAAGCTCTCAAAGGGGTGTAGAAGGGATGGTGGCCCTAAGTCCCCATTGGGGAGCTGGAGCTGGCCCTCCTTGGCCAACTGATCAACGTCTGAGTTGGCTTCTCTATACACATGGCACAAGATAATCGTGAAGGCACTGGTAAAGAGCAAAATTTCCTCGAAGATATCGTCGTGATGCTGCGGCCAAAATAATCAATTAGAAGCTCAAGATATAATGTTCTTGGCATCGCCCTCATAGGAACATGATGTTTTAGTTTCTATACCATGTTCAAGAAAAAAATCCTTTAATCCATTATATAGTTACCCTCATGCATTGTCAGAAGAGAAAAATTTTATTTGGGTCAAAACTGGGTCTGAACCATTTTATGAAATATTGTAACTATTGAAGGTACATCAGCGCTACTTTTCATAAGTTATATCTAAGTATAACGAAATTAAACATCAATGAATGAAATAAAATACTGATATCTAAATACAAAAATTTCTCAAGCAGGCGCTCAAACATCAGAATGAACAAGAGGAACGGCCTAAAACTTTTATTTTGAATAGAAGAAAAAGAGATTATGCAATGTTTAGACAATTGATAGGTCTCACATTGTAACTGAGGAACACTCAAAAAAACAATCTTTTATGGAAACAATAATTTTAAAGATTTTGGAGACATGTGGCCAAAGCAAGTGTGCCACAAGAGTACTTGCTCATGACTTCGAGACTTAGAGCTAAGAGTAGTAGAAGTTCATTCCATGTTGAACAGGTACAACCAATTGTCTTCACAACCACAACCAATGATCTTCCTTGTTTTTACGTCCTGAATAACACATGTGAGCGATCGAATGTGATACTGCAGTTCGTTGTTTTATTAGGCTGCTAATGAAAAGGAGATAAGAAGGAAGAGAAAGAACATGTATTACAGAGGGTAGGGGCAAGGATGATGAAAGTTTATATATTCCACTCCCACAAGCGTTGGTCATGGATCCATCAGCAATTTTAACTTCACCAGAAGCAGGAAAAAAAGACAAGAAACAAACTTTTTTACCAGTCATATGATCAATAGCCCTTAATTCAATCATCTAGGATGTAGAAGAGGTGGAATTAGAGGCATGGTTTGCAGTGGCATATGTACCTGGCTGCTCTATCGGTGTCTTAGAACTGAGTGAAGCCTTGAGGGCAGCAAACTGGTGCTATAAATCATTGATGGCCTAATCGCTTCGATCAAATATATTGGGTTGTAAGGCTAAGGTTTCCTCCCCCTCATTCAATACAATATAGGCATTTGCATTCCTTGGTTTCAGTCTCAAGTGTGATGCAAGTCCCCACGGTGCTCTCGGATGTGTCTCCTCTTACCATCATGAAAGTATCTAAGTTTCTCCTTTTCGACGAGAGAAGGGCACGATTTAGTCCTTTTGTACCTTCTTTTCCTTGCTTGAAGCTTAAAGGATGACCATTCAGAATGGATGCTTGAGTTTTGTCCTTCTATAATAGCCTTTCCACTGGCCTCCCCTTTTACATAATTGTAGACTAATTCAATAGAGGACAATTTGTCCTTTCTTAGACCTCATACTCGCTGAAGCCAAAGTCAAGATGTACGCCTACGAAGAACTCGACTACGAAGAACTCAAAGGTCCTTCATTGCTCAAGCTTCTTTTTAAATGCCATTAACGGTGGGATTAATAGGCTGATAGTGGTCTACTTATTCCCACTTATGCCTTTGTATCCGAAAGTACTCTTAAACAGTCGCTTCCCCTTGTTGCAAATTCATTATTTCACAATGAAACCGGTAAATCCTAGACATATCATCTTGTTGCGCATATGTCTTAGCTACTGCCTCTCATATATACTTTACAATCTTCAGAACAGCAGCCCTTTATTGATACTTGGTTGCATAGAAAGAAGAACATTGCCACCACTATCAAGTTCTCACTTTCCCATTCATGGAATGGATCATTTGTGGGAGGCTTTCCTGTGATATAAACCGACTTTCTCCAGCTTCCTATGAAAATTTTGGCAGATTGAAACCATTTCAAGTTGTTTATCTGATCTAGCTTAACCATAACAATCATGATCCTGGATGACCAGACTGGTTGGTTCCTAAGGACATATTATGCCCCATTGTAACATTTTTCTTCTCTCTCAAACTCGAAACCTAAGAGGTTGTTTCTTTTTCTCAAGGTACTAATTCCATTGTTTCAAAGTTTGCTAAGATCTCCTTTTTCTAGTTTCTTTGGGCAATAAAGGTACGGAATGTATTTATGTGATTTTTGTGTGTGGTAAAAACAAAAATCTATTTTGCTGGATATGGAAAGAGTTTAAGATAAAACTTACTTATTGGTAAAAGAAAAGTGAGATGGTACATGCTGGAAAGGTAGGTTGCTGGAAATATGAGCATGCCGGAAACATAATGTTTCTAGAATACGAGGTTGCTGAAAATCAAAGGAGTTTGGGATAAAAATTGGTAAAGGAAAACAAGATGATCTCGTTGGAAATACAAGGTTGCTGATATGCCATAGCTTCAAGCCCAAGAAAGAAGAAAAATCATGATTCTAGGGGCCCGGGGCCCAGAAGTAATGGATATCCCTAATGTTTATTAAGATTGAGAGAGATGAGAGAGAAAGTAATATTCAAGCACAAGATAAAAGTAAATATAGTTGTCATTTCCACTCAATACATATTGTTGGTTAATGTGTCATATATATATATATAAGAAAAAAGTTTATATAGAGCCGAGACTCTAAACAATCAAATTAGAGCCCACCTCAAAAATTTCACTAGAAGAGGTTGTTTTGACATCCAAATATCCTCAAATTGATCATCTCGACATTAAGATGCATGGACATGAGAAAAAAAATGGAGATCTACAATATTTTTTGATCTTTAAATTTTATAATTAAAGATGAAAATATATTTTAAGGCTATCACAAAGATTTCCAATATTGAAACCACATTTCTCGACACTATTTGAATGTGGGCTTTACTTTGATTGTTTAGAGCCTCAGCTCATACAAACCGTACCCATATATATATATATATATGGAAAACGTTTATATAAGGTTGCAACCTTAAAATGTAGAATTACATATGCACCTCAAAAATGAATCGGAAAAGGTTGTTTTAATGTTGAAAAAACCTCTAATTGGTCATCTTGACCTCGAGATGTATGACTATGAAAAAAAAAGATTTTGAGTGCCAAAAATAGTGCATCTTGCAATATATTATCTAGACCGTCCATTTTTCAACATTTTCATGTGTTTATAGATCTACTTGATTTTAACCATTTTTGTAGTTTAAAATTTTATAATTAGATATGAAAATAGATTTTGAGATAATCCTAACAATTTTTTCACCAAAATTACATGTTATAATACAATTTGGAGGTGCACCTGAATTGGATTGTTTAAGGTTGCAATCTTATAGAAACCACAGCCTATATATATATATATATATATATATATTTGGAAGTTACAATACAGGTAGGTCAACATGCATAAGAGTTACAATCATTATGTATGACTGTTACAGCGAAAAAACCACCCAAATATGCTATAAGTGTTACAGCAAGAAAATTATTGATATGATAACTGTTACAACAGGCAAATCACCGAAATATAATAGAATATTATACACAGTATCACCACATATAGGTTTCCACAATGAGCGTGAGGCCCATAATAACCATTGCATGTTTCTTTAATGGACATGGGGCCTCATAACAGTCACTACAAGTATCAATTCACCAGCACTCTATACAAATTCCTTACATAATGAGATTTGAGAACTTTGAGATATTGCACAGTGAAGCATGACGAAGCAAGACTTACCTTGAAGACTTTCAAGCTTGAGTTGTCTTTGGACTGATAACATCGCAGACTTGAAGCTCCCAAGGGAGAGAAATCCAGATCCAGAATCCATATTGCACACTGCACAGAATCTAAGACCAGAAACAGAGATTAGTTATTATTAGAGTCATGCCAAAACATCCATGTCTACTCCATAAAAGTTTAAAAAGATATTCCATCTCTAGAAATGTTGGACATACAGAAAGTTTAGCAGATGGCTGACACTGTTATCAACGCCAACTACAGAATTCAGAATGTCAATGAATCCCTCACCATTGAATATAACCTGTAAATGTCAAGGCCTGTACAGAAAAACCTATGCAGCATCCACTGATTTCAGATTTTATATCCGTTCCGAACATCGCAATTTCTGTATCGAATTGAACAAAATTCGTGGCAGTTTTTAAGTATTTAGTAGAAGCCTGGTTTGGATCGCGGATAAGTTGCTTCTAATCAGTACTTGGAGCAGGGACAAGAGTTACAGCATAACAACTCTGCCTGCTTATAAAATGCTGCTTAGATGGTCTGGTGTGCCCACCTATATCCCACACCCAAACTGCCCCTTAGATATCTTTCGAGTTTTGGGTAACTTTCACAAGTAGCAAGAAAACACAAGCCTAAAGTAAGCAATTGTGAGCCAATCATTTACTTTATACAGACAGCTGGAGACAAAACAGATTTGGAGCAAGAATTGAAGACCCATCAGTTAAAAATAACATTTGCTTTTCTTCATCGTGTGAAACACTTGGGAAGGAAGAAGCAAACTTCTTTCATCACAAGTCTCAAGCATGCACTTAATGCCTAGAAAAAGGCACGCTTGGTAGCATAACCACGAACAAGGTAAAATGTCAAATCCTTTACATGATATTTTTAAGCATCTTAAAAGAGCAACATTCCAATGACAGAACGAGAAAGTAGGATAAAGTAAGCTTTGCATGGAACAGGAGGATACGCTGAGCTTTGCGTTGAACTTAACTGCAAAGTCACTATGACGAAAACTCGAATCAGTTGGCAAAAACAATATTTGCCTCAGTAATCTGCACCAGTCCATTAGTCATAATCATCAAGACTGAATAAATTAGGATGGAATTTTTTTCTAATAATTGAACAAGTGCTGGATGAATAACCCTTCTTTGAAGGCTATAAGCTTCAGGCAATTCACAGAGGCTATATAAGTTATACCTTTGCAGATCTTCCATTGAGGGAGGCAAGAACAACAGCTTCCTGTGAGAGAAACGAGATCTCACCCTCTTTTCTAAGAGTTGATCTGCATCCTACAAAGGAAAATTGGATGTTACAGTCTGCATCTCTAAACTATAAAAGGAAAAGGCAAGGGTCGTTTGAGCTGCCCGATTTGCATCCAAGAAAGTTAGCCTCATGACATAAAAATGTCATGAACCATACATGGTTTGATACCCATACAGCCATACAATAATTTATAATGTTGAAATATCAATTCCTTTTATGAACCAATTTCTAAAACTTCACACCTATACACAATAAAGTTTAAGGCCACAGAAAAAACCAATTTACACTCCATCACATGCCTATGTTTTCTACAATTGCAGCTGAAATCACATTGAAATGCAAAATAAGATCTCTCTAATTTATAATTGAACAGGGTCGCTGACAATCTCATCTAGATTTCAAAAGCATGAAAAACCATGGAATACAAATTTTCTTCTTTTTGATCGGTGACATGGAATACAACATCAACCTAACCATACAGTGAGCAAATGCCTCCATGCTTGACTGCAGTAGCCAGTAGCAGAAGCCTCGATTCTAATGGTACCTCAATTGCATGAGAAAAACATTCATCTCCATAAAAAGCATTAAATGTTAATCATATGACCTAAGACAAAATAACCCAAAGAAAATAAAATCAAGTAGAGCAATTGATTGGTCTCATCGCCATGCTTCCACACCCTTCAACTCAGCAGTCACCCCAAGCTCTTAAGAGTGGAATGCCCATTTAGAGTTCAGGAAACCCTTTAAGCTGTGAGTTAACTTGAGGCACATTCCCCATGAGTGCTAAGAAATGAAGTTCAGGAGGGACATACTCCATATCCAAAGCTGTACACCATAAGGGAAAGATCTCCACCATTCAGTGAATGATTTTGCACCACCATCCTATTGATCTACAACTTACCAGATGTCAACCTGTTACTAGGTCCTATTTTGTACTTAATAATTCATTCATTAAATAAAATTAAAATTCTCTTATAAATTTTTAAAAATGCAAAAGAATGTTAAAAACAAATGCAAAATAGAAATTAGCGGCGATAAGGCAACGGGGAAGAGGATTTTGTCCTCTTGGGTCAACCAATTCTCCATTCCCATCTCTAAAGAGCAAAAGGTAAGAAATCTCAGGCAAGTAAGTGAATGACTTTCTCTATCAGAATCAGTTATTTCCTTCAAGGAAAATCGGCCTCAGAAGTGCTGAGCCAGTCTCTTGATGGTAAAGAAAAAGCAGTCTGAGATCAGTTAAGAGGGCAAACACTTCAAAAATAGACAACTCGCTAATCCCGACTGGTCCCGAGAGAACACAATATACATAAGTTTCGCCATGCATGCCCCAAGCTCCAAACCCCTTGGATTCCATACGGAACTAGAAATCAGAAATGAGCGCAAGGATCTCAAAATAAGGACACTACAGTGTGGGTGACTTGGTTGTCTTATCAATTATGGGGGAATTGAGAGTTATGGACTCATGATTGAGGGTACCAGTTCTGACCGTGCAAAATCCAGGAACTATACACTGACTTCCGTGAATTTTTCCACCAAGCAAATAATTTTATTTCTAGGTAATATTTGACTGTAGCTCATCAAATTGAGTCTAGTTTCACACAAATAATTTCATGGAAAAAACACTTTTTTTGAAAAATATGGTATTTTTATTAAAGGGTATGCAAGTGCTATTTTCTACAATAAAAATTGTTTATGTGACATGAAAGTAATGATTTTATTTTCATTCTTAACAAAATGTTTTAAGGCCAACACTAAGTTTTTAAGCTGGCATTTTGAGTATAGTTTCTAACAAAAATTATGTGAGAGAGAAAAATCCATGAAAAAAAAAATTATTTGAGAGGGGTCATCCTGAATTTTTGCAGTTTGATGTGTTTTATTGATATGTGAATATCTATATTTGTCACACCTACTTAACAGAGCGATATGAGGCCTGCAAAAAGATATTTGTTGCCATTTTTGTCTTTCAAATAAAAAGAATTAGAAAGGGAAACACCATGTGGTAGAAAGAAAAGATAATTTTACTACATAGTGTTCATCCTGGAATTCTATATTATGACATATTTTGTGATGTAAATGTTACTTATTTATTTTCTTGAAGAAAAATGTTATTTGTGATTCACACCATGATGTTGAGTTTTGGTTTTGAGTCTTTTTTTCAACATAAATGATTTCAAGAAGAAAATATTTGTGGATTGAGAGAAATAACTATTTTATTGAGGGGTGCGCAACCTGATTTTCTGCTGTGAAAACTGAATAGTGATGTGAATGTCATTAATTCTTAGACTCACTAAATGGTGTGATTTGGGGATGGCATTGCATTTCATGTTGTCGTTTTGAGCCTATTTTCACACTCAAAAGGTTCCAGAGATAAACTCTTTGTGATTTGAGAGATATCATAATTTTATCATGGTATGCTCACCTTCTATTCTGCAAGCACATCTTTGTACTCCTTATAATGGAAGCCTTCTCAAGCTCATTCAAAGTTTTATAGTGCATCATGAGTATGGTTTATAACAGTAAAACTTCGGAGAGAGGAAATACAATTTGAGGAGATATGACACTTTAGGTGATGGGTGCTCAATCTAGGAACTACAGAAAATATAAGGAACACAATACATGTAAAAACATCTTGGTTTCTCTTTGCAATAAAGGGATATGTAAAGAGACTTGGTGGCATCATAGAAACTCTAAAGATCAGTGGGAGAATCAAAATTGTAATCTTTAGAATGATGGTATGAAGAAGAGTATTTCGTCATGGTATGAGAAAGGGAGAATCCAAGGACCAAGGAGATGAACACTCCATTGACATGTAAAAACAACGACCAAGTGATTCTCCATCAGTTGTATGATCTTCCAAGTCTATAAAAGTTCGTCAGCAAGAAAAGCCAGGATATAGAAAAACCCCGGTACCACGCTACATGATTCAGAGGTATGAAATCTATCTCACATCACATGCTTAGGTTATATAGGGAAACAGGGTTCAATTTTTTTATTTATACTTTGTTGATTATATCTTGGTTGTTGTTTGTGCATATTTATGGAGAGTAAGGACATTAGTTTGTAGGCGTTAACAAGTTTGAAAAAGCCAGTTTTTTAATACCATGTGTTTTTGTGCCTCCTTGTGCCTGTGTGAACTACTTAAGTAAAACACATGAAGATGTGCTTTGATCGAGGTATAAAGACCTAAATATCAAACACAAGAGCTGGGTATGACTCATCCAAATATGTAGCACGAAGGGAGTGTTCCGATGGAACCTGGTCTTGGTGACTCCCGAAAATGTCCAGTGATATAGTGTGTTGCATGTGAAGAGGATCTTATGTTAAGGTCTCCAAACGTTGGCTAAGAAAATATGTGTATTCTGAATATTTGTCATTTTATTTATATAACCACCTTTTAGTCATGTTTTGTTTTGGATAAAATCATAAATGGATTTTAAGATTTGTTTTGTGGCTATAACATTACTTGGAAAGTAATTAAAGGTGAGTGCGGTAAAATGATTTTTAAAAGACTAAGCATGTTCTTTAGAAATTGGACTAGACCATTTATGTTGCAAAAACCTAGGTCTATGGATATGGTTTTGAGAAAACTCCATAGTCCTACAAGGTCCACTAAGTCTTTATGAAAAATCAATCTAAACCCCCATACTATATATATATATATATATATATATGTTACTTGTGAAAATATACCAAGTCAAGAGTTCTTTATAAAAAGGAAAAGGATTGAGTCTTAAAAGTATTTTATGTACATGGGAGAAAGTGTCATTTATATATATATATATATATGCTACTTGTGAAAATATACCAAGTCAAGAGTTCTTTATAAAAAGGAAAAGGATTGAGTCTTAAAAGTATTTTATGTACATGGGAGAAAGTGTCATTTATCTATCCACTAGTTTTTAATACCCATATCTCTTGACTTCATGTTTGATAGTACCGATTATGTGACCAGTTTTTGAGTTCTTTAGAGCCTCGATTACCTAAGACCATAAACCATAGGGAATGTCATAGCATGGCCATCTTGTTAGGCCTCCTTGACACATGTTGTGTGGATAAGATAACTTGATTTGTATGGACTTACAACCAAGAGACTAGTATAGTAGAACCTTTGTAGTTCAGAAAAGGGTTTTGAAATATTGCAAAAACAACATGCATTCAGTTGTTTTTGGCATGGGACTTGTTGTACTACCTCATGACATTGGCATGAGCATGCTAAGAAAGTACATTATATATGTTATGTTTCAGTGGGAGCTGCTACAATCCCACAATTGTTTTAGCTGCTTGGATATTCAGATATTCAGGTATTCTACTATGAAATATCAAGATAAATGCAACATTCCAGTGGGAGTACCTGCTTGTGTTTGACGGGCTAGCTAAAACAACAAACTATAATGTTGTCCACCATGGAACCTAGATAGTGTCATTGGTTGTCTGGTTACAAAAGGGAGCAACATGATTAGAGAACTCCCTTGAGCTGCTAAGATACAACCCCATGTGATGAGGGTACGTGATAATCTTCAGCGACAACAAGTCCGTAGGGCGAGAGGCGGTGGGAGGGTAAGGGGAAGGTGAGGTTAGAGAGGAGGGCAGATCGGGTTGGAGAACTGGGCCAGGCGAGAGAGAAGACGGAACGGGTTGAAAGGCTGGGCCAGAAGAGGTTGTAGAGAAAGACGGGCCGGGTTGATCTACAAGGGCAGGAACGAGAGGGTGGGGGGGGAGGGGGTAGAGTCCTCCCAAACTTCCTTTTTGGGTCGGAGGATCAGGGTGGGGAGGAGGTAGAGTCCTCCCTAACTTCTTTTCCGGGTCGGTGCGTCAGGGTGGGGGTGGCCTCAGCATGTGATACCAACAAAGCATCTTTGACACTAATCGGGTCGCAAGTCGAGTCCTCGACGGGCACCTGAATCGAGAGAGGCTCATGTTGAGGCAACCTCTGCTTGGACGTGCGTGGACGCCAGCACGACTGCTGCGTCTGTTGACTCGAGAAGTTCGCCTTCAACTGGGCTGAGTCGGGTGATCGCCGGCGGGGCCTCAAAGGGTGCCGCTTTTTCCTGGTCACCATTGTCCAGGACTGAGCAGTGATTTCTGGGTAAGGAACTGGGTCATCCTGTTGAAGGAAACTAGGAGAGGGGGGCGAAGCTGGAGACCAAGAAGTAGAGATTGGAAAGTAGAGTTCTTCTATTTCTAGCCAAACTATAAGTGGAATCATAGAAGGGTCGAGGACTTCCAGAAGAAGTTGGATAGAGCCCAAGGGAAGAGACTCCAAGGAAATCCAGTAAATAGAAATCAAAGATCCGTAGGCTTCCGCCACTCTCCGAAAGGTTTCAGGTGACCACGCATGAAGTGGGATGTGGCTTAGGGTAAGCCAAATATGTTGTTTCTTGAAGGAGCCTTCTTTAGGTGACCATGCCCAAAGCGAGCACGAGGCTCTTTTGAAAGAAGGGCTTTCGGATTCCTTTAAGGCCAGTTGTTCTTGAGAAGGTTAGGGAAAGGAGAAGAGAAAGTCTCCACTTGAAAGACATCTGCAAGTTACGTTCGGCTCCTTTCAGAGGCTTCTGGCCCAACTTTATATCCCTCTTTTATCATCCTGTCTAGGTTTAAAACTTCCAACTAAAGAAGCTTGAAGTTTTGAGCAGTGTATCGCGGTCTCCTCAGGAGGACAGGAGATACTGAACGGTAGGTAGGGAGATGGGACCGAGGAACAAGAGGAACTGATGGAAGGCACAGAGGTTGAAGGGGTAGCAGAGGAGGTTGGGGTAGCAGAGGAGGTTGGGGGAGCAGAGGTAGAGGGTTTGAAAGAAGCTGCAACTTGTGCAAAAGAGGCTTTATGGTTGCAGCACGGATGCGAATGAGGCTTAGAGGGGAGATGAAGGAGATGGGTCTTGGGATACAAGTCGTAGATCTTCTTCCAGGAGAAGGGGGGGACGGTGGCGAGATGCCATTGGATTTAATAAAGATTGAGAAATTCTGTTTTGTTTATTCATTCTAGAAACTCCAAGAAAGTCAACAAAGGGAGCACGAGCATGTTTTCATTAGCTATGGGGAGAGTTGTGTTTAAAGGCACTCGATAGACCTAGTCCATTGTTATGAGAGGGTGCCAAAGATATCGATCCGAATAATATGGGAGCCCCGATAATTGTACTAAATATATGGAGTCCATAATCGAGCTTGTAAATAATGTAAAAACTTAAAATCTTTTCTCGACTAAAACTTCTAAAATGGACCTAAGGGGATTGGTGTGCAACTCCCGAAAGGTAGGAATCTTGATTCCAAATCGATGGAACAAAGATTCTAACAATATAGAACTCACAATTCCAAATCAATGAACAAAGATTCCAATTTTACGAGATCACAATTATGGATGGCATCAATCAGTGTGGATCAATGTGCAATTCCAAAAAGGTAGGAAACTTGATTCCAAGATAATGGGATATCGATTCCAACAAAACAGTAAATATGATTTCCTATTTTATTGGATTGTGGTTCCGATATGGTGGAAAATCAAATTACAGATGATTTGCATTGTATGGACGACAATTCTGACAATAGGAATCATATGATACCCATGATTCTGCTATTTCGATTTCTGAAACAATTCAGAATCACAAGCATTTCCAGCAACTATAGTTTGGATACGTGAAGCAGCACGGTTTACGAATAGGTTTGTCTCACCAAAGTAGAGTGCTATCATGCCATTTGATTACGTGGATAAGTGCAAAAACACATATCATCTACTTTGACTATAGATGAAGGCTCGAACCTCCAAATCTGACCTCAATTCCCAAATTTAGACCAATCACTCACTTCTTTGATTTTTCTTCAGCCAAAACCTTGGGATAAGGGCCTTCAAATGAGCTTCTTGTTTAGTGCCTGCATCACTAGATATGGATAAATGGCTCATAATGGATATATAAACTACCTTAGAAATTAGATCATTGCCTTAGAAATAAGAACATTAGAGACAAAATTGAATTTGGGAACAAAGCTTGTCACTCACCAACAAAGGTAGCAACAAAGTATAGGGGTAAGATGTGTAGAGATTAATTAATAATTATGTACTTAACAAAAGGAAGTTATTATACGCAGCCCATGATGCATGGGAACTTGTATACACTTAATGTTGTAGCGATGTCATAATATATTACCACCCATATCACCTATAATTGGGAGTAGAAGATTATGGCCTGGACAATTCAGGATAGTAATGTTTTCAGTCATCAATGGTAAACCTATCATGCAAAACTGTTCCCCATAAATGTCCTTGCAGAAGGCCTCTCCCAGTGTAGCTACTACAATCATATGAGTGCCTCATGAAACCCTACCAAGACCCATAGCTTGCAAACTTAAGAAACCAGTTGCAAGAACCCTAAATTAAGACAAGGTGTGGATCTAGGGAATAGGCTTCAAATGACTTGTAGCGAATTAACGAACCATACCACAAAGGCTCCTATTTTTTCTCTTACTAATCCATTAGAACCATATTAGCACATAATTCAGGATTTTGGGGTGCAATTAATGGATATCAGACTTGTGCATCAAATAAAGCAAAGCTTTGACATATTAGGGCTTGAAACCTCTAGAGATCCCTCATATTTCAAATGGATTTGCTGAGGATATGTATTTTCTTTTCCTCATGGCTACAATGATGCCATCTCGAGCAGAAGATTGCATCATAAAAAATAAAATGACTAAATACTTTTCTGTAACCATTTGTGCACCAAAGGACTGAAACCACCTCACATGACGCACATTTGTAACATAGGGGAAGGCATAAATAGCCAAGGTATACATATAGATGAAAGTTATGTAGTACAAATACAATTCACTACTTATCAAAACTTTATGTGCCAATGAAGTGAAGTGTAAACAGGAATAAAACATAAAAAACACATGAGATGGTGCATGCATTTCCCAAATCTTCTGAATAGACAGAAAGAAGTTTAACAAATATATTGTTCATGCCTACCATCAGCTTCCAATTTTCAGTTTGCAATCTGATGGATATACAGCAATGTAATATAGGCAATGAGTTTCTTATGGTATGTATCTTTAATGTTTTATGGATGTAAATTAAAAGTAAAGATCAGGAACCTTTTGGCAAGTACAAATGTCAGCAACGTAAAACCAAAATATCAGTATCTTCACAATGCCATACAAAGAAGACGAAAAAATAGGTACGACATGATAAGGTGTAAGCTGCAAATGCATACCAAGCGGCAACTCACACCAACAACCACAGCTTGTGATTGCACAGATTGCATTGCATCCAGTAGGCTATAAAGTAAGCGCTGCTTCCCCTAAATAGAATAAGAAGAGACAATAATCATTGTGACTCCTGTGTTAAGCTCAGACAGAAAATAATGAAGGATGGTATAATTAAAAGAAATTTGATGTAATTTACTAGAGATGAAACCAATATTTGTTGTTAAAATATATTCACTAATTAATAAAGATCTCTACCCTTATGCGAAAACAACAGCCAAAATAACCATTGCAAGTAGAAATATAGTGAAGCATACCGGAGTAAATAGATCAAATTCATCAAGCACAAATATGATTGCTTTGTGAGCCAATGCGCACTCCCTGGTAGTAAAAAACAACTCAAATAAGAAGCAATGCAAACAAAAACAGTATCGACTTCCACAATCTTGTAATGTTGTAGTCAGTTATACTACGAATAAGAGCAATCATGGACAAAAATGGTAGTAGAACTGCAAAAATAGACTTAGTGAAAGGCAAAAAAAATGTACAAGATGAGTAGTATATATATAAGTATAGAACACCCACCGTAACATACTAAGCATAAATTGTGAATTGTCATCACATGAAGCCTGTTACATAAAACAACAGCGACAATCCGAAGCATATCCAAGAACAATCTTAAAACTAAACTAGAAACTTAAATAGCTTAAAAATTTATGCGAAGACAGGAAACTTTGCATGTGAATGCTACCATTTTTGAGAAAATCAATTGATGATCAGTGCATAATTGCCTCACAATTTCCTGGAAAAAGAACCCCAATCCATCAAATCGAAATTTTAGAATACCAGATAGAGTTCCTTTGGAGAAATAATGAAAATATAAGGCAACAAATACTTATAAGCAGAGCAAGACATATTCTGAAGAATATTCCATGTAAATTTTGACCCTTATAGAAACTGATAGATGCATGCAACCCTTTCTCATGTTATTCTGCACAAAATCAAAAGGCCAAAACTTTAGAGTATGATACAACTGTTCAATTGCTTTAGTCGTTTTGTGCTTTATTTAGCTCATTATAGACTAATTTGTGTTTTATTTAGCTCATTATAGGCTAGAAATTAGCTTAGATCATTCTCCACGACCATACTAATATACAAATATAAGCTAAGGGTTTCCATGGTATGGAATCATAATTCATCAAGGTTGTGTTTATTTGTCTCGATTTATGTTAATACTAAGATTTTTCATGTGGCAATTAAGGTGAGGTAGAAAACCCCCATAAATTGCCCATCAAACACAACCTTGATACTTGGGGGGAGTCGTAAAATAAGGTAAAAACAATATCTTTGTCTATTTATTAAACAAATGACCTAATTCCTCGGGTATCCCATTTGCATCATCTTTGCAGATCCCAAGCGAGTATAACAAGGTAAGAGCTTAGGACTCTAAAGTGAGTCAATTTTCAGCTTGAAACAACAGAAAGACAGTTGCTAATGATTCAATAAAGCTCCAAAAAAGAATATCAGGTAAAGGTCATGGAAACCAAATTCTGCATCGAATTCTAGACTACCAACAATAACAAGAAGCCATACACATATTGATGTGCATAAACTATTTAGTGCATGAAGAAAGGAGACAAAATATTCAATTGGGAAAGAGAAGTTCAGACAGCCTGACCTTAAGCGCACAACGGTCATCACTGTGCAGTAGTCCATTCAATCTAACCTGGAAATCATCATTCATCGAGCATCAAAACTAGCAATAATCAGAATTAAGTGAAACATGTTTGAGTCCAATTTTCCCCAAAAAAAAAAATCCAACAGGTCACCATGTGCTATATGGTAACCATTCTACATTCACCAAAACATAGACAAAAAATGAGAGCATTTTAAATGAAAGTCATGGCTTCAGCACATGTAAAAGATACGAATAGAAGTGGATCTAACAAAATACAGGAGCAGATTTTCATCAATTGGGTTTTCACCAACAGAAGCACATCAAATAGCCATATATGTGAAAAAAGACACTAGATGTACACATATGCTACACATCATAAGGATAGGTACTTCATCAGTAATAGGCAGCCATGGATCGTCAAAAAAGTCCTGAAAAAGAAGAGTGAGCATAACATCAAACACTTACAACAGATAATCTATCGGGATGATCAGTCTGCAACTTTCTGAGAACAAGCTCCAACACCTACTTTCACCAAAAACACTACATCATTCCCACAACAGATCAAAAAGACCAGAACCATTAAAGACTCATTCATCTATTCTCTGATAATCTCTCATTTGAAATCAACAATCGAAACAATCAAAGGCCAAATGCGCTAAGAGAACCACCATTTTCCAGAAACAAACAAAATACAGAAGCAGTATTAAAGAATAAAAATTCCTACCGTGGTCTTGCCACATCCTCTGGGGCCAAGAAGCAGGACAGAGTTGTTACATGACTCAAAGATGGAGTTGGAAAGGATGAACTTGAGCTTACTGAACATGAATTTGAGCAAAATGTTAGCTACATATTTTAGAGAGAGAGGGAGAGCGCCGATTGCTGGTAGGATATGTATTTTAGAGAGAGTGAGAGGAAGATGAGGAAACCTGTAATTGCTATCTGGCGATGGTGAAGGGGAGAGAGAGAAACGGGGGTCGGAGAGCCTGCATCGAAGGAGAGCTTGAGCATCCGCTGCCGCACCTGTTGACATGGCTCTGTTCCTTGTTATTCTTCACAAGCGAAGACGTGCATTTGATTGAGAAAAAGAACCCTTTGTTGGCCTCTTTGTTGTGTTCTTTGTGTCAGTAGATCTTGCATCAAAAGTAGATGGTCTTGCAACCATTCTCATTGGTGTATATTATCTATTGGGGAAAGTTTATATGGAGCAAGGTTCTAATCAATCAAATTTGAGCCTAACTAAAAAAAAATTTTGAGCCTAACTAAAAAATTTCAGTACAAGAGGTTGTTTTGATGCCCAAATATCCTCTAAGTCCTCTTGACATCATGCATGGACATTAGAAAAAAATGGATTTGAAGTTTTGAAAATATTGTATTTTATAATATATTTTTGGATCGTCAATTTTTAAAATTTTCAAGTTTTCATAGATTTGTCGATCTATGCTATTTTTTAAGCTTTAAATTTTATAAATAAAGATGAAAATATATTTTAAGGCTATCACAAAGATTTCTAGTATTGAAACCACATTTCTCAACATTATTTGAAAGTAGGCTCTAATTTGATTGTTTAGAAGCCTAGGCTCTATACAAACCGCACCCTTATCTATTATGATACTATTTTCAAATAGTCTCTAAACAATCAAATTATAGCCTACCTTCAAATAGCATTGAAAAATGTGGTTTCAATATTGAAAATCTTTGTGATAGCCTTAAAATATATTTTCATATTTATTTATAAAGTTTAAAGCTTCAAAAATAGTGTAAATCGACATATCTATGAAAACCTGAAATTCTTGAAAATTGAGGGTACAAAAATGCATTACAAAATACACTATTTCCAAAACTTGCAATACATTTTTTTCTCATGTCCATGCATCTTGATGTCAAAATGATCAATTTGAAGATATTTGGGCATCAAAATAACCTCTTCTAGTGAAATTTTTGAGTTAGGCTCAAATTTAATTGTTTAGAACCTCGGCTCTATATAAACTTTTCTTTTCATTTTTTAATACAAGGAGGTCTCAATCGTTTTTAGTTATTGAATGTAAAATCCAACAAATGAAAATATGTCACAACATTCAAAAAATTTTATTTTGGTTTGGGATTCTCTACAAAGAGACCATTTATCTCTTTTGTACATAGTGTTTACGATCATTCTCACTCATTAGATGTCAAATTGGATGGCTTGGGGCAACTCACGTAGTCTGAGAAAATTTTTTTGGAACTTCATGTTTATTAAATGTTACTCTTACAACCACCATTTTGAAATTTAAGGGACAATAATGATTGTGACCTCCATGCACAAAAGATAAATGATCTCTTTGCAGACAAATCCCTTTTGGACTTTGGGTCCAAACAATGACACATCCTCAGCTAACTGATCTCAAATATAGCAGTTATCAAGGATTGTGACCTCCTTATATCAAAAATAAATGGTTACATTTTATACATTTCTATTTATTGGGTTTGTATACTATGAGATTATTTATTTATGGTACACAGAGGTCACAATGGTTTTTAGCTATTGGATGTGAAATCCAATAGGTGAAAATGTGTTACAACAATTTTTTTTGGACTTTGTGTCCAAACAATGGCACATGCTCAACCACTCAATTTCAAATCTAATGGCCAACAATGATTGTGACCTCTTGATGTCAAAAGTAAATGGTCTCATTGTATATATTTCCATTTATTAGGTTTGTATACTATGAGGCTATTTATTTTTGGTACAAGGAGGTCACGATCGTTTTTAGCCATTGAATGTGAAATACAATAGATAAAAATGACACATCCTCAACCACCCGATTTCAAATCTAACGGTTAATGCTAATTTGTGACCTCCGAGGTGAATAAGAAGAGAGCCAATAATAATCTGGTCCTGTGGGTGCCCAAGACACCGTCGGACCACGAGGAACACTGTAGCAATAAGCCTAATATTGGGCAACCTCTGAAAAAGTATCAGAATGGCCTCAAATTATATGACAAGTAGTTTTGGATACCCTAAGGACACTCATAAAGTTTTATTATGTTCTATCAAGTTTTGAGCCGATCAGGACAAAACTCAGTTTTCAAATCCAATACCTCTCATGATGAAAATAGACATTGTAACTACAACCATGTTTTATGGGTCTCAAAAGAATATCAGACACTGCTATTAGATCCAGAACGTCGAAAAACCCTTAGGTGCCAAATTTTGGCTCAATCGGACCCTCCGAGACCATTCTAAGCCTAACTTACCAAAAAAGGTAGGTTTTATGTTATTGCAATGCAGTTTCGGTGAACCAGTTTTCATTTATAGAAAATGTGTTTTCTCAATTTGAGATGAATTTTAAATGCTCGTAACTCTCTCATTTTAGGTGCAATTAACCTCAAATTCGAAGCACGAGTTAGATCTCGATGATACGCTCGTTTTGACATATGACACGCATCATGGCGTTGCTCGAAAAGAGAGAATTATTAGAGAGAATAAGGGCTTGAAATATAAAAATTCATATTTTAAAAAGAGGAACATTTCATTCTTTAGGAGGATATAGCTCAAGATCCCGATGTCAAATAGTCGCAAGTATGGGTCTGTTGTGACCATGCGTTGACGAGCTTCAGTTTGATACAATTTTTTTTTACAATCGGAGGCCAGATGACACAAAATTTGCGGTAGAAGAAGACATACTTTTTCAGTAACCGAAATTCCATTTTTCGACGACCTTCCAAATTTGGAACGCGCTCAAACGGAGACCAAAATGAACGAAATTTATCACATATCCTCTTCGGTTTGTGATCAAAATAAAATCTCGAAATATCATGGATCGTGCCGATTCGGTGGTCGAAGAATTACAAAGTTTATGGACTTGGCCAGATTTTGGATTATTCCTTAAAACTCAGTTTCAAAAAGATCAATGGGTATCAAAAGGTGCATAACAAATCCAAGCATCAATTCTATGACATTTGATCACTCGAATTACTACCGTAAATGTTCCAAAAAGCTCTCGAGGTCTAGTAATGGCAAGAGGCCCCTCATGGAGAGATGGTTTTATCATTTGTTAAAAAGTGCGTTGGGGTATTTTGGTCATTAATTTCAAAAATGGGATTATTATTTTAATTCATTAAATGTGTATTTTTTGACAATCTAGTAGTTTTTGGGCAATCCACCCTTGTTTTGGGGTTGCTCTATATAAGGAACTTAAGTCATTTGTACTGATATCTTGGAGACTCTTGAGAATTTTGGAAATTGATGAGAAGAGCTTGAAAATTCTAAGATCTTAGGCTTGTTCTTTAGCTTTGCTTCAAAAATCAGTGCTCAAGGAGAGAGGAGAGAGAAACCATTTCTAAAGAGAGAAAATAAACCTACGAACCCTTCACTCCCTAGAACCCCAATATTCCAACTCCCTTAAGATTCCCAACTTCCAATCCTATTCCCTACACCTTACACCCTACCTTAGCTTTCCTACACTCTACCTTACTCCATACAGCATAATATCCCATACACCTTAGCTTTCCTAAACCCTACCCTACTTTATACACCATAGCCCCTATACACCCTAAACCTTCCATACATACCATTCTAGTCTATGTACCCTAGTTACCATCCACCATAGCTTACCTTAACCCACTTAAGCCGTACACCTAAACCTTAAACCTTAATCTTGACCAAGACCTCTATCTCTCAAGTGCATGCAAAGGGACCAATGAAGACGTACCTAGGCTCAAGCCCATTTTAGATCCACTCTCTTTCCTCTTCCTTCTATCTCTTCTCTCTCTTTTATCTCTTTCTCTCTCTTCTCTCTACTCTCCCTTCTCTGTACTCTCTCTCTTCTCTCTTCTCTCTCTTCCTCTCTCTTTCTCTCTCTTCCAGTCTGACCCAGTGAGGGTTTGAGTCCCCTCTCTATCTCTCTCTCTCTTTGTTCACTCCCTCTCTCTCTCATGTTTAAAAATTGCACAAACCCGCACATAGGGCGGGCCTGGCTCACCTTTCTCTCCTTTCCTCCCTCTCTCACCTTCTCTCTCGCCCAAAAGCATGGACCCACACCTAAGGCGGGCCTGGCTCACCTCTCTCATTTCCTTTCTTTATCACCCTCTCTATCGTCTAGATGCTCGGATCCGCACCATAGGTGTCCAGCTCTCACTTCCCCCCTCTCTTCCACTGTCTATCATTCTTCTCTCTCGCATGAAGCTCGGACCCACACCATAGGTAGTTCCCGCTCTCTTTCTCCTCTCTCTTTTATTTTCTCTCACTCTCCTACCTTACCCAAACCTCGGCCTCACCTAAGGTGTGTCCAACCCTCTTTCTTTATATCCTACCCTGCCCCACTTCAATTCACCACACAAAACATCTGGACCTGCACCATAGATGGGTCCATCTCCTTTTAGCCCCCTTTAACTCGTCTTTCTCTTGCTCTAATACTTACTCTCTCTTTAACTCATATCTTCATCTCTCATTTACTCATGTAATTTTAATTTTGTAATTACTTCTTCATAATCTCTCTTTTACTCATCTCTTCTCTCAACCTTGAGTAATCGAGTCAGGGTCTTCTTGAGATAGCGCCTTAGGGTTCTAACTCTTAGATTGCTACTCTAACAACAGTTCATATAGTGTTATTGAGTCGTAAGAGATGTTGATTTTCTTGCGATCCATCACTCGGGCTGAGTCATCTTGAGCTAGCTTTTCTTAGAGTTCTAACCCTTACACTACTCTATCCACCGAGTCAAACAGTGTTCAAGTTGTGAGGGACTTCTATCTCTTTCGCTCTCTTTCATTTTTTCTTCTCTCCCTCGATCACTTTTTAAGGGGCTCTTTTGGTTAGTGACATAGTTACAAGCCAAGTCTCGTGACTCCACTTTTTAAATCCTTCGAGTACTAAGGCTTTGAGCCTGGTGCTTTCTTTTCTCTTCGGTAATATCTCTTAGGAGAGTTTATGTCGGGAGGCTGCCCCGGGTCATTCCCCCACTTCTTTTATTTCATTTTCTTCTTCTTCTTCTTATCGTTAAACCAATCTCTCATCAACTTAGTCTTATTCTTCTCTTTATTTTCTTTCTTACCTATTTCTCTTATAGAACCACTAAACCATAAGAGCATCAATGAGGAGTTCTATCATAAATGAGTTTTATTAGCAGTTTTTTTGTGAGAGTATAGGTGATGTGTTGATTTCAGAGGGGGCCGAATTCAAACCGCATTGTTGGACAGT